CTGCTCCACGGTACTAGGTACTAGGATCCCAGAATTCTTCACAGAGCCTCAGCTACCGAAAAAAACCACGCTTCTCCTGCCCAACGTTGTGTTCGAGTCCCTCGTGCTCCCCATCGCACTTGCAGAGTGCCGAGGAGAATACGCAAGACATGGTCGACTGCGAGACCATTACATACAAGCCAGGCCCCTAGGACCAGTGCATTTGCTGTGTCCAAGAATCATGCCGCCAACACTTCTCTGAAGGCTTAGCTTCTCACATCTCTTGCATTGCATGTTTCGATCGCCTTAGCACTAGAGAGCAAGGCTCGCTGTGCACGATTGTTCCCTGGTCAGCCCCCGAACGCCATCTTGTCCCCTGCTGCCTAGAGACTAGATAAATGTGTTGTATTGTGCTGTACTGTCTGTGTCTATGCATGTATGTGAAAAGCAGGCTATATCAAGGTGCGCGTGCCCACTTGAGGTTCCGACAGTGTATGTCGCAGCAAATGGCTCCCAGCCTCGAGCAAAGTGCGGAGGTGGGCAGTGGAAGCCCAAAAAAAAACCCTCTTAGCCGAACACAGCCAAGCATATTGTTAAAACCCCAAAGAGTATAGTTTGCTGAGCTGCGAACTATGGCCCACACGACCATACCAACTCAGGAGAGCCCTGAACCCTGCCTGAGGCCACTTTCTTAGTTCCCAGGGTCCAAAATATGTAGCCTCTGACTGGCAGAAGATGACACTTCTTAGGGTCAAAAAAACCTCGGCTTCTAGTAACCCAAACAACCCTACCTTCCTGCTTTTGGATTCCACATACAAAGACCCCCTCCCCCCACCCCTCCCAAAACCAAAAACTCAACAAGGAAAACTATCAGAAGCGTCAGGCCGGCGGCGAGCCTCCGACAGCGCCGAAGAGGTCGGGGTATTGGAATCGAGGATCTGCGGTGCAGTTGAGGGCTTAGAGGGTTTAGAGTTTAGAGTAGGGTTTACCGGGTTTATAGTCGGGTTCATAGCAGGGTCTACAAGGTTTATAGGGTTTATAGGGTTTGTAGGGTTTTGTAGGTGAAGTTGCACCCGCCAAAGAGGGGAATCTACTCTCCAGGGCCTCGGAAGAGTCACTGGGAATAAGGCTTTAGGGTTGAATGTGTCGGGTTTAGGGTTCTAGGGTGGGACATCTGGGAACTGGTACTAGAAGTAGCGATGCATGGCGATGCTCAACCTTAGGACGCTGGGAGCGGGAAGCGTGGGCCCTGGGGCTTTCGGCTGAAACCCTAAGACAAGAGCTGCTCTTAGATGGTCTTACTCCCGAGGGAGGGAGCATTCGGACATTTACGTCTGCTGTTGAAAGGCTTGTACTGTGTAGTGCACGCTGTGCAGACTCGTTCGTGTGGGGCCATGGAGGGAATGTCCGAGCGTTGCCAACGTAGTGTTTTTGAGGAAGGTTTGTGGGTTGACTTCGGAAGTTCGGGCTCACCAAGACCGTTCCCTTGAGGTAGCCAGCGGCGAACTTGTCCCAGAAGCTGACAGCGCAAAGGACGCTACAATCGGTCGCACGCCGAAAACACGGTGCCTTGCCATTGTTGTCTGTTGTCAAAGGTTTTTCAATTACCCTTTACCCTAACCCCTATACTCCCTAAACCCAAAAAAGCCATGCGGTTGATGATGGCGGTGCTCACCAAGTTCCCGCTTCACAGCGGCATAGTCCCACAGACATGAGTCCGCTCACGAGGTGACATGTCCTGTGACAGCCAACAAAGCCCTCTTGATGCTAACCTTATTGGCCAGCACACCGTAAAACACACTTGACACACAACAGCCTGCCAGTTCTTGCGCTTTCATTCATCAGCAGCCACTGGAGCTGTAACTGATGGAAAAGAAGAACCACGTACTACTTACCCGGTTCATCAAGTCTGAGCAAACACCTTTCAAAACCCAAGCCCTCAACCGCAGCCAATGTCGTCCAGCGTCGCAATTCGCCAGTGATGCACGGGAGGCCAGTTGTGATCACGTCACAAGCGAGCTACCTTACAGGTCCCATGTTCCGCTTCCACGGTTTATTGGGGGGGGGTCTCGGCTTGGGATTTTGGAAGAATATGTGGGTACCATGTTGGTGTTGTTCCGCGCAAGGCATCTATTGTGGACGGTGCCACTGGTCGCGGGGCTGAGGCCGGCTGGTAATATGCCATCGTAAAGCAATATAGGCCTTAGGGCCTTAATTCATATCGGGATCCCACACTACCACAATTGAAGGTAACCTCCTTACTTGAGGGGCATTGGGCTCCCTGGCTTACGGAGTACAGTGCACAGAGGCAACACCGAAGCTCCAAGATATCGCAGAACTTGTGATTTGTTAGGTTGGGGGAGTTGGGGAGGGGGCCGATGAAAAGACATACTGCAGGAATCATGGACGCCGCTCCATGCTCATGGGCCGAATGCAGGCTTGTTTGCATCTCCAGTCGCGCGATGGCAGGATCCAGATCATTGTGCCCAGTCGCTGGGCACACGCGGCTCAACGTGTTGGCTTGCGTTGGCTGCCCGGCTGCTACAACGCTAAGAACTTGGCACGTGCTTTGTTCAGTCGCACAGTTGTTGTGCTAAGGCTGCTAAGCTAAACCGCCACAGAGGTTCTTTGCGTGAGTGATGATGGATAACAGGAAAACAGGTAGGATCCGGAGGGTACTGCGACGTAAGGTATCGTATGGCGTCGCTTTGTACCGCATCCTGTCGGTCCTACGAGGTCAACAATTCCAGGATCTGCTGCCCGAGTTCCGCGCCAAAGATTATCGCCAGACCCTCGAAGCTACATGCCCACCACAGACTTGAAAAGGTTTTCTGACGGCTTTAGGTTTCAGGGTGGCTTTCTGGGTTCGGAGATGAGGGAGCTTAAGTAGGAGTCCGCGCATTGCCGTGCCCAGGCGTGGAGCTCCATTTCTTCCTGGGCAACCCAGAAGCATCGCCGGTGGATCAGGTCGCGAGTGCTGTTAGCCCCCGTAGCTTCATTCAGTGCTCGAAGCGCCGAGTTGCATATCGGCCAGCAGGAACACATGAACCGGTACTCATCGTGTCTAGCGCGGCCAAGTCCAATGGCTTGCAGCCCAACACTGAACTCAGCCTCATGTTCGCAGGTGCTGGCGCATGAGGAGCGTGTAAAATTTGATGACGTCGTCGTGCGCTGCGCTCAGCGTGGGAATGATCGCAAGCACGCGCAACGGCAGTCTGTTGAGCCTGGTGCCTACATGCCCACGAGAAGTAGTCGACATGTGTTGTTCCGTGAGCAAGTTCTGGCAGTGCCATTTCGATGCTGAAATGGCTTAGATCAGCTGGTCGCCCATCACTGCCGTCATCCCGTAACGGATCCGTAACGGTAATGATTAAAGCGCATGCCCGTGTATCCCTCTCCGCGACGTGTTCACAACTGGCAATGCTGCGTCTTGCATGGCCAATTTCCCACCAGTCCGATTTCCCAAAACAGGCCTATAGTGGGGCAGTGACATGAAGTGTCTCACACAGCAGTCACTGGCAGGGCGTCATGCTGAAAGGCAAGAGTTAAGAGTTGAGGGCACCAGCGCAACATGCACAGGCTTGGCGCCGGGGAGAGGGACGACGAGGTGCTCAGGAAGTGCCGAGAACGACAGGCACCCCCGCCGAGATTTGGGGTTGAGGGCGTTCTGGCAGTTGGCTGCGAATGGGGCACGTGGGAGTGTTGCGCAGTCGGGGGAACTGGTTGCCATTTGCAGGGAAGGGCAGATGGAGTTTGTGGCGCTCTTGAAACTGCACCTACTTGGCTTTCTCCATGATTGACGTGACATCATGGCTCAGTCATGACTGAAGGGTGGAGCCCTCCACTGAGGTATAGGAACTTGCCTAGACATATTCAGGACAACGGATCTTATAGGGCACCTGCTCCCTCAGAAAGTTAGACTCTGTTAGACTGTGAGGAGCCCCCAAGCCCTCGACGTAGTCTTTCTTCTCCACGTGGCTGCAGCCATTGAGCCAAGCACCTCAGGGCTGGCAGGATCGGACGGCGGTCCTGTCACACAGCTACAGCAGGCAATTTAGGGTTTGGGGTTGGGTTTAGGGTATTTAGGGTTGAGGGCTGAGGATTTAGGGTACCGCTCTGCGACAAGCTGGCGGATGGGAAGTGCAGGTCATCCCAACGCGTGGATCTGGAACAACGGTCTCATTGCCCTATTGAGCTTGATCTTGAGGTTGATTAGGTTTTCACGACCACCCAAAAATCACATGCGTCTTCCCATGAACAGATTCCTGTGCCCTTGTCGCCATGGCAGCCGATGGGTCTGCCGTGGAGGTGCCGTTGGTGCTGGTGTGCTGTGGGTAATACTGATGCTTTCAGGCTTCAGTTGTTGTCCAACGGAGAGGTCAGCCGTAATTGTAGAAGCTGTGCCTTTGCCAATGCCTTCGTCACCCTTGAGCTACAGGCTACTCGTGGCTGGTATCTGTTGCATCGCCTCCACCCCCTGATTTGAAGACTCTTGCCAGTAAGAAGGATGCGGGACAAGGCGACAGCCGCAGCAAGGAGCGGCTTGTTCATGTCAGCGCGCATGACACCTTGAGGTCGCTGAGTCGCTTGCGATGAGTTGTGATGATCTAGTTGTGCCATGGGGGTCCCGGGGGGGAGGGGGGGAAAGGTTGGACGAGCTTTATGAATTCATAAGCATGAAGCCACAACAGCAGTACATGCCCTCTTCGACTTGACTTACTAATCCTCGGATGCAGATCTCAGAGGCAACGCAGCATCGTCAGGTCCTTGTGGAAGATTGGGGATCTACTTAGTAGTCGAGGAAGCAAGCTTTAACTTTCTACAGGGTTGGTATCAATCTCATATAACTTTCAAAGGTTATCCGGGCTTTAGTGACGCCAGAAACTGGACACAGGTCTAGGATCTTTAAAAAAACACATAAACGATAAGCCCTCATGATACCCACATGAGCCCTTGTCATGAATTGCCTCAAATAGCCTTAAACCACTCGAGCTCCAGAGATCTCCAGACCCCTGCCCCACATGGACAGCAGCCAACGAAACCCCACGCGGGAGGAGGAGTTTCTGAAAGACTTCTTTCGCACCTTCAAGGTGCCTCGCGTTCGGGCTCGGGGGTGTTTGGGGTGCCTAGGTTGTGCATGGGCTTCAGGAATGCAGGGCGTAGAGGGCGGTTTCTTGTGTGGCCAGGCGCTGTGATTGTCGGTACTGTAGGCTCGCTGTAAAACCAGTGAGAGCCGCGCAGAACATCGAACCCATCCTTCTCACAGTCTCTCAGAGCTGCGTCCCCCCCGATCCGAACAAGAGCATCAGCTGACCTCTGAGTTAAACCCCGCCTTGAACCTTGAGACAATATTAGTCTGCTTTGTTATTGTTATCATTAAGAAGGCCGATGAAGCCGCCATCCGTGATGCCCTGGGTGCCGTGGAGTCTGGCGGGGCCACGGAGGCCAACCTGTGGGGCACAGGCATACATCCCCGGGTCCTCGAGCCGAAAGTGTTGAGCTAAAGTGTCGAGCTGTGGGGCTTTTTTTGTATGCAGATATACATGACTCTAGCGGAGTGCCGACAAGACTTGTCACTTGGTGTCGTTTTCACTACACCGGAGGAGGCCCCAAGGCTCACTTGTGTCAGGAGTCTACGGGGGAAGAGGGTGGGGGCATGGGTCTAGCTGGTGGGTGGGACCATCGGCTTGGCGCAGTAGGTCTTAGGGTTCATGGGGTTCATATAGTGTTCATAGGGCTCATGTGGTTCATTGCTTCGGCTTCAGCAGTTCAGCTGTGCCTTTTTCTCTACGCGGCGGAGGGGGGGTGGGGGGGTGGGGCAATCCGGCAGGTCCACGAAGCCCTGGATGCGCTGCTGAGGCAGCAGCAGACCCTGGAGGCCACGTTGAGATGGCTTAGGGCTTTAAGGCTTTGAAGCGGCTAGCGTAATTTGGGACAGCCGGAGTGGAAAGACGATCCTCAAGTCGTGTCCACATCGCGAAACCCCGCTTTGCCTGCACTACAAGAAGCAGGCGGTGAGTTCGCATGACACGACGGTAGCGTCGATCGCAAGGCCACGATCACTGGTGCACATAAGATGTGGTATGCCCTCACGTGTATCGACTGCATCCTTTTCGAAGGCCCAATCGAAATCGAAAGTCCACACTCCCAGAAGCCTGTGGCCACATGCAGACGTCATGAAAGATCCCCTAAACCCTAAACCCTAAACCCTAAACCCCAAACCCTAAACCCTAAGCCCAAACATCCTAGGCATCCTTCACACGGCAAGCCCACATCCTCCCAGCTTACGATGTGTGGCCTGGAGCAGGAAGTTGGACGGATTCAGGCATTCAGGATCCCAGCAGGTCAGGCTTGGGGGCTCGACATATATGTGTGTGTATATATATATATATATACATGACGAGGTTTTGTGCTCGACATATATATATATATATGTATATTATTGATTTATGCATTTATCTATTTATGTTTTAGTTATGTATTCATTGATTATATATATGTATACACATATATATATATATATAAACATATGTCCCCCCCCCCCCGATCCACACATCCGGCGTCGTCTCGGTTGTGGATGTGGGTAGGGGACCGCAGACATCCACAAACTTCCAGATTTCCAGAGTGGACCTGGAGGCTGGGACCCCAGACTCCAGACGGAACGAAAAGCACCTCGGGTGTGAGGCACTCCCGAATCCAGGGCGTCTTACACCCGGGCCCGGAAATTTGGCTCTCAAACTGCCAGGAGCACTGCGGAAGATTTGGAAATCTGGAGTCTGGGTGCTCGAGATTCAGATGCATTTTTCAAATCTGGAGTCTGGATATGTGCATAGAATATGAATGAGAGTGAGATGCCCCCTGCGTTCTGCAGCAGCAAGTTTGCCAACAAACATTAAGTTTTAATAAATCGGAAGGGCTTGTTGTACGCAACACCAATTTAGGCGACCATTGAATTTCATCTTTGTTTGTGTTGTGCTGTAGAAACACAATTAAACATCCTGGTACGCCGTCGCAAACAAATTAAAGAGAAGTAAACATCTATGTATATGTATATACATATGTATATATATATATATATATAACCGTGATGTATAATCCGAGCTCCTAGCAGAAGGGCACAAAGGCAGATTGTTTGAAGCCACTAGCCAAGAACGCAAAATATGAAAACACGTGACCTGACGATCTTCGCATTGTGAACGCAACGAAAGCGGCTATCAGTTTGTGCATTCGGCATTGTCTTCTAAAAAAGCGTTTGTGCTAAGCAAGAAGAAGCCCAAAGGTATCAGAAACGTGCACATACATACGTGTGTGTATATATATATGCATATATATATACATTTATATTTATATTTATATTTATATTTATATTTATATTTATATTTATATTTATATTTATATTTATATTTATGTGTGTGTGTCATATGTATGCATATATATATATATATATATATATATGTATGTACATATGTACATATACATATATGTGGATGTGCATACGCATGTCCTGCTACATGCATGCATTCGTGCATGCATGCCTGCATAAATGTATATCTATATATATATATATATATATATATATTTGTATATATATATATATATATATATATATTTATTTACATACATACATATATATATATATATAGATAGATATATCTGTGTGTGTGCATGCGTTCGCTTGGAACATGTGTTCTGTGCTCTGCAAGACGGGCCTCATTCAGCTTCAGCAAAGTTCCACTCTGACCCCGCTCACTGTCTCTCCCTCTCTTTGGCGAAATGGCCCTTTCCCGGATGACCCGCTCCATGTGTGATGCGATGAGGCCGATTGGGTCTCTCTCCGCCCGCCAGTTTGCCACGGTGAATGGGAAGCCACTGCACGGCCAGCGGAAGCCTGCGATGCGAATGACAACCGAAGAAGCTTTTGTGAAGACCTTGCAGATGCACGGGATCAAGAACGCATTCGGCATCATCGGCTCAGCAATGATGCCCATCTCGGACTTGTTCCCTGCTGCAGGCATCAAGTTTTGGGATTGTGCTCATGAGTGCAATGCGGGCATGATGGCGGACGGATACACCAGGACGACCGGGAAGATGTCCATGATGATCGCGCAGAACGGCCCGGGCATCACCAACTTTGTGACCCCTGTGAAGACAGCTTACTGGAACCACACGCCGCTTCTGCTCGTCACCCCACAGGCAGCCAACAAGACGATCGGCCAAGGGGGCTTCCAGGAGGTGGAGCAGCTGGCGATGTTCAAAGACACTGTTTGCTACCAGGAGGAGGTCCGCGACCCGACACGCATCTGCGAGGTCCTCAATCGCGTCATCGAGAAGGCCTACCACTGCTCGGCCCCGGCACAGATCAACATCCCCAGAGACTTCTGGACCCAGGTGGTGGACATGTCCTTGCCAACTGGGGTGAAGCTCGAGCGCGGTGCCGGGGGCGCTGCCTCGACAAAGGCAGCAGCAGAGATGCTGGCAGAGGCCAAGTTCCCAGTGATCCTGAACGGCGCTGGAGTTATCCTGTCCGGAGCTGTGGATGCCTCGGTAAAGCTTGCGGAGCGTCTTTCTGCACCCGTGTGCTGCAACTATCAGCACAACGACGCCTTCCCAGGCGACCATCCTCTGCACATGGGACCACTGGGCTACAATGGCTCGAAAGCTGCCATGGAAGCCATCTCCAAGGCGGACGTGGTCCTGGCGCTGGGCACGAGGCTGAACCCCTTCTCCACCCTGCCGTGCTACGGCATGGAGTACTGGCCAAAGGATGCCAAGCTGATTCAGGTGGACATCAACAGCGATCGCATTGGCCTGACCAAGCCGGTCGATGTCGGCATCCAGGGCGATGCAGGCTTAGTTGCCGAAGCTCTTCTGGCTGCGCTGCCACCTTCCGCTGGTGATGCAGGGCGCACGGAGCGGCTCAAGCTCGTGGAGGAGAAGAAACAAGCCTGGGGCAAGGAGCTTGAAGGCATGGACCACGAGTTGGATGACGAGGGCACGACGTGGAACAAGCGCGCACGGGAAGCGCAGCCCAACCGTCTCTCACCACGGCAGGCGTGGCGCGCAATCATGCGGGTGATGCCCAAGGATGCCATCATGTCGTCGGACATCGGCAACAACTGCGCCATCGGCAATGCCTATCCATCCTTCCCCTCACCGCGGAAGTACCTGGCGCCGGGTCTCTTCGGGCCTTGCGGATACGGCTTTCCGTCCATCCTCGGCGCGAAGGTGGGGAACCCCTCCGTCCCAGTGGTTGGCTTTGCGGGCGACGGTGCCTTTGGCATCTCCGTCAACGAGCTGACTGCCTGTGGGCGGGGTGACTGGCCGGGCGTGACCATGGTCGTGTTCCGCAACTACCAGTGGGGCGCAGAGAAGCGAAACACGACATTGTGGTACCAGGACAACTTCGTGGGCACCGAACTCAACGCAGGCGTCGAGTATGCGGAGATGGCCAAAGCCTGTGGATTGAAGGGCATCAAAGCAGAGAGCGTCGAAGAGCTGGAGAAGGCCGTGACCTCTGCCATCGAGGGGCAGATGCAGCGAAATGAGACGACCCTGATCGAAGTCGTCCTGAACCAGGAGCTTGGCGAGCCCTTCCGCCGTGATGCGATGAAGCCACCCGTAGAGATTGCCAAGATCCATGCTAGTGACATGTGCGAGTGAGAGTGAGCTGCTGTGTGGATACCTCCATGGGGCTCGCATGAACTCGCTATTTTCGGCCGAGGGGCCGGGAGTAGCAGAATTAGGATGTCCGAGGGTCAGGGTCTGTCGGGCCTCATGAGATCCAGACTCTTAAGATATTCTGAGATTCCTTGATGCCTCGGAACGAATTTTGAGCTTTATAGAGCTTTTGCCTGCAGCCCGGCTCGAAAGATCGTGCCAGCACCGGCAACTGCCACGACTGCCACGATGAAAGCCTGCAGGGCTTGGGACATGTTCCCAATGAGTCCATGGTCGCAAAGACGACGTGCCATGGCCTCGCTTCCAGCACATGAGCGGACGAGACAAAAGAAACAACAAGCCCAGCCTTCTCACCAGGTCGCAGCAACAGTGTCCTGAGCTTCCTTTGTAAAGACAGCCTTCCGCATCCTAAATGACAGCGCAGCTTGTGTGTCCTTCATCTGCCTCTCCAAAGGCAGCAATACCGCAGCACGCTGAAGGCCACTTGCAAGGGTTTAGGGTTTAGGGTTTAGGGCATTTAGGGTTTAGGGTTTAGGGTTTCGGATTTAGGGTTTAGGGTTTCGGATTTCGGGTTTCGGGTTTCGGATCGGAGGGAGCTGGCTGTCGATGTGTGCTCGGGATGGCTAGGCCGGGGACTTGAACTTGAGCACAGCGCAGAGTGGCATGGATCCACGCATATCCCCAAAGAATGAAGCTTTTATATATATGAGGTATCGGGCTCAAGGGGGCCCAGGGCCATTCATGTTTGCTTCAGGATTCTTAGGGCTTCTTAGGGTTTCGTAGGGTTTCTTCAAGTTTTTCTTCGAGTTCTCCGAGGGATCTCCAATCATCCCCCTGTGTCCCAAGCCTTCTCAGGCCCTAGCTGCGGAGATCGCTGCCAAGAGAGAGCAGCTGGCACCACGGAAGAAGCCACCTGCGCGGGTTAAGGGTTTGGGGTTTAGTTTGGTGTTTCGGGTTATTTAGGGTTTAGAGTGTAGGGTCTAGGGTTTAGATGCAGTTTTCAGTGGACCTGTGGAGCAACTCGCGGCTCCAAATCAACCAGGGGTCGCCATAAGGAGCCATGTCACACAAGAAGCCCCGCCCACAGGTTCTCCTTCAAGCGCCGCACCCCGGCACCCGGGTCAGCGCCCGCAGGCTCATCCGCGCTCTGAGAAGCCCTGGTAGGTTTTGGTTGACACCCTGCGTCGTGCAGAGTGCACTCGATCCTGTCCTGTTCTCAGACTCTGTTCCGCACACAGCCCTATAGGGGCCTACTACTGCAACCATCAAAGGCTTGGCCTATGTCAAATACTACGCCAATCTTTAGTTTGCCTTGCATGGTACCCTTCAAGACGTCCAGACGGGTAAATCCTGAAACCCTTGAACCTTCAGACCCCAAAGCCCTCAACTGACTAAACCCTGTCATGCTTAAACACGCAAACAGGCTATAGCGAGGCGGGGACTACGGGCAAGCCAGCAGAGACAGCCAGTGGCGCAGCTGGCGAAGGCCTCGTGAGAGAATCCTACAACAGCATTGAGGAGTTAGGGTGCCAAGGGGTTTCATAAGGAAGCGGTTTGCTATGTACTGTACATCGTTTATTAAGTATTGGCAACTGTGCATTGCGATTGGCGCTGCTGCTGGGGAGTAAGACCTGCCGAGATGCCTTCCTCGGCGAGCGCATCGCCGAGCTCCGTGGCGAGCGGATACTGCGGAAACCTGGGGACCTTGAGGCCAGGAGTTTTTTTTGATAATTTAAATCTTTGTTTAGGGCTTATATGATCAACAAGGATCTATGCGAGGTTGAACTAGGCCTGAGCGTTGCAGGACATGCATCTTTGGGATTTGGTTTGTGGGTATGGGCTCTAGGGCCTCGAGGGTCTGGGCCTTCGGTTTGGGAATCTAAGGCTCAAGGGCCATGAATCTGCAAGAAGAGTTTAACCCGAGAAAAAAGAAGCCACACGACCTGCTGCAGCGCTGCCTTTTATTGCAGAATCATACGATTATATTGTAATGGGTTCTATGTGATTATGCATAGTACTAAGTTATGATTGTTATCATCGTTATACAATACTCCCACGAGAACTCTCCCAGAGCCAGGGCCGCGACGTCTCCCTGAGGGATCTGGAAGACTGCCGCATAGTTCTGCTGGATCGGACCCATGGCAAAGACTTGCTGAAAGACCCGGGCTTGAAGTGAAGCATGGACATCTGTGCCCATACCCCAGTATCCTTTGCCCCGGCATAGAATACCCAGCCCTTGCTGAGCTCGGAAAATTTTCCCTAAACCCGACACTTCTGGAGATTTTGTTTCCTTCCGCGGTCTTTTCTCCACCCTCTTGAAGACCTAAGGGTGGGCGCGCTGCACGTCCAGCAGCTCACCCGCTGCGAGGTGGTTGTCGGGGCAGATCCTCGGCTTGTCAGCAACGCTGTATGTTAGTTTTGTTGATTGCGAACTGTTTGTGCATTTTCATGTGCATTCCTTGACAGGTTTGGGATGTTAGGGGTGTTCAGGGGCATCTTCGCAAGCGGAGTGTTGATTGTGACAGTGAAGCGCATGTAAATGCGGAAGGTCTTTCGGAAGGCAGAGGGTTTGGGGCATCAGGTCTCGTCCTCCGCGCTGATCCACTTTTGCAAAGACTGTGTGTTCACCTTAGCGGTGCCGAGCTCAGCCGAAAGAGGTTTACCCGGTTTAGCAGTTACTAGGAGAGATTCCACCCTTGAGTCGGTGAATCTCTGAAGTTGCATCCGAAGCCCCTCCCCCTCCCCCCTGCCCAGAAGTGAGAACTCCCCCCAACTCCCTGCCAGATGGTTCTTGTACCCCCACATACTAAACCGCAAGCCGCGACCTTTCCGGCTTTTGAGAGGTGAAGCAGCTCCGGCTCCACGACTCGGAGAAGGTAGCGCTCCACCTACATACGTTGCCGTGGCCCGAGCTTGTGGGGCTTAGCTGGGGTTTAGGGTTTCGGGGTTTAGTGCTTTGCGTTTGGGATGTATTATGGGTTACTTGAGCCATAAACCCCAGTGCCCGATGTCTAGCGATCCTCAGAAACCAGAGTGGGCTTACTGTAGCTGCTCCCTTGTCTTAGGTTGCCTCATAAAACACCCCTTTGAAACACAAGAAGGGGCACCTCTTTGTTTGTTGCTCTTGGGCCTGGTCTTTCTTCAGCTCGTAAGCAAGTACTGCTAATGTTGACCCGACTCTTTGCTGGTCCAATCCCATGCCCTTGGTGAATTTGGGGCTTCGAGCCCTAAACTGAAACCCGAAGCCACAAGAGCCGTAAGCCTAAGCCCGCTGTTGTACCCGGAGAGCCCAAACTGCCGCTTTCATCAGGGTCTAGGGCATGCTACTCTGGGGATATTGTTAGGTCTGGGCCGATCATCGAGACCTCCAAGAGGATCGCCTTTGCCCCCTTGGACCTCAACTGGGACACAGGCGCAGGGGCTCATTAAACCCTAAACCCAAAAGGCTTATTCCCGCTTGGGTTTTAAACGCTACGCGACCCGCCCCGGCCGCGGGCCACAGAACAAGGGCGGCATTTATGCGAGGGCGGGATTGGAGGTATCTAGAGTCTAGGAGTCTTTGGGCCGAGGTATGCAATGCAGGAGCCTCAAAATCGCCAAGATGATTCCCCTTACATTGTATTCAGTCAATTTGATTGAAATCCAAATAATAATCTCCAAAATCTAAACAAAGTGATGATATATGAGCGCTCAGACAGAAAGCAGTTATTGTAGATGAAGGATTAGGAGTATTGACAAATAGACCAACACAACAATCTAGTTGGCGCGCAAGGGTAGCCGGACATAAAAATCTGTGGGACACTTTCAGGCCAACCCCAATTCTACGCCCCGAAACCCCACACCCCTGAATCCCCAAACCCCCTGTTTTTTTGGTAGAATGAGGGAATTAGGGCCCTATATATATATATATACAGAGTATCTCATCCCCTCATTCCCTACGAAGAATCAGCCAGTAAAGCCAAGCTTCAGGAGCAGACCTTTTGACAGCTGCCTCGCTGGGAAGCTCCTCGGGCGAGGCAGGGGGTTTAGGGTTTAGGGGTTTTGGGTTTCAGTTGAGCCCTTAACTAGTGTTTGCAGTTTTCCCTTTTTGTTTGTGTACGTTAGTGGGGAGGGGTATTTCTCAGCATTTCAGCATTGAACTTGCACTCTCAGCAACAAGCTTTTAACAAGCTTCGAAAGACCTGCCTGATACTTTGGCCTCCAGGCAAGAACTCCGTCCCAAAACGCTCAGACTTCTATACCGCACATCCTCATCTCTGAAAACCCTGTACACAAATTGGAAATCTCACAGTTGAAAATCAACCTAAAAGCCCCTCTTCAGAACCCCGATAAAGACACCGAAAGCAAGCCCAAGCCCAACAAACGACCCAAAAGTCTTCCATACTAAAAGCCTGCAGAGGACGGCGTCTGGAGCGAGGTCCAGGACTTCAACTGGCTCAAGCGTCAGGCAAAGAAGCTCTCAAAGAGGGTACATCGGGAGTCCGGAAGATGGCTCATGGGAAGTAAGGCTTGCAGGGTCTTCGCGGTTATTGGTTTTAGGGCTTTAGGGTTTCTAGGGCCTAGAGCGATGGGACGCGCTAAACCCTGCACCCTAAACCCTGAACCCTAAACCCTAAACCACCTCGAGGCGTCGCCCAACTGGCGCGTGGTTCCTCCAGGAAGGCGGAGGGCGCCACTGAGCCTGAGCACTGCAGAGGAGGTGCCGAAGCAGGGCTTCTTAAAAGGTTTAGGGTTCAGGGTTTATAGGGTTTAGGGTTTAGGGCAGTTTAGGGTTTCCGGTTTAGAGTGTGGGGTTTAGGGTTTAGGGTTTGGGGTGTAGGGTCCAGTGGTTTTAGGGCGACATGGCTCGCCCCTCAACCCCCCTAGAACCCCTTCTGCACCCTATCATGGATGTTAAGATTATTGGTGTGAGGATTTGGTGATTATTTTGATTCCCATAGTGGTTATGATCAGTACGGTACTGAAGTTTGTTTTTATGGGCCTTGGGGACTCCCCCGACTTTGACAGTTCGCGAGAGCCTGCAGGTGTTACAGCACTACAGCCAGCTGCCGCTACCACCTGCCCTGCCTCTCGCCTGAAACAACAGCCAAGGGCACAAACAAAGATCAGCGCAATCACAAGAGTCATAAAATCAGAACAATCTTAACAACCGTGAAAATCATCATTGCCGTAGTCAGGATGGCGCCGCTGGGTTGTTGAAGTCACCGCTTTCCCGTGTACATGGGGGAGGTTGATCCTTGTATACCCCAAAAGGACACCCATGTACACTCACCAATATTAAAAAGGAACCTTATATACCCTCACCAATAACAGTACTATAAACCCTGCTTCATGTACCCCACGTGGCTGACCCAGGCCCGAAGTGGCGACCCTCGGGCTGCATTCTGAATCTGGTAAATGAGGTCTGAGGCTTTGTTTTGGTGATGTAGGGCTTAGTAGGGTTTAGGGTTTAGGGTTTAGGAGCTCAAGACGCGTGAAGAGGTGGGAAAAGTCTGAAGACGTCTGCAAGAATGTTGATCCAAGGCAGTACGAGAGCTGTTGGGAAAGCAGCGCAGCTGCTGGCGCGAGCCTTAACTCCAGTGTTGAGCTGCAAGCTGATGAAAGTGGCAGGCGTGCGGGCATGCGGGTTTGATGTTGGATTTGTTTTTTTGCATCATCTCAACAAAACCACACACTACAGCAGTGACGCGCTTACTTGCTGAGTCTGCGCTCAAGCTTGAGCATAGGGAGCCCGTCAAAACCCACATTGCGCAGGTGCCGACGACGAATTCTGAGCTGCTTGCCAATGAAGTAGCAGCTGAAAAGCGCAATCTGCTCCACCCCGCACATGCCTGCTTAAGATGCTTTGCTGAGAGCATCCCGGCATGCCGAAATGCCGAGTGCCCTCAGCAGCAACGTTTGTTCATGTACGATGTCTGCAGCAGGATCTCAACCGTTGGCAGCTCTGAAGCTTACCTGGGGTTTGCACAATTAGGGGATCCTGGCTCTACATATCGGTGCGACATGTGCAGCTTACGACCTATCTATAGACTTCTATGTGTGTCGAAACAAATCGGGTCTGAGACCATCGCAGGTTCAGTGCAGCAGCGTCAGCGGGGCAGTAAAGTGACCACCGCCCATCATGCATCACTCACAACAGAGACGACAAGCGCCGCATTCAGAAACCAACCCGAAGCCGACTCTACACAAGCACTTACACACTTCAGCTGCAGACAGCGGTACTCCCAAGGTGCACGATTTCCTCGAAGCTTCAATCCGTCGGAGTAGTTGGCCATGTCTGCAGCGGATGCGGCAGGCTTGAAAGCAGGAAAGGACTACACAGGTGCCCCCGTGGGTCATATCCAGTTTACGGGCTTCCAGGTGTACTTTGGGGAATTAGGGTTTTCAGCCGCGTTGGGGGGCACGAGTCGAAAACCTTCCAATGACTCTTCCGTGAACGACCGCATTCAAGAAGCGCAGCGAGATGCACTGGGCCGTCAGCGAAGCCTTGCCTCCTTTTGTTCCAAGCTCCCGGCTTTTGAGACGTTCCTAAAGTGCTATGGTGACAAAGACTGTAGGCGCCAGGTCCTGCTTTGGAGGGGTTGGAGCGAACGGAGAATCGAGTTGGCCGGTTTTAGCAAGAAGTACATGTGGAGTCGAGAGCCGGAGCAGATCTTCCAGATCTACCCAGAAGTTTGATAGGGTTTAGGTAGGGTTTAAGGTTTAGGGTTCAGGGTTTAGGGGTTAGGGTTCAGGGTTTCTCGCACTCGGAGCCGTCCAGTGCTTATGGAACGGTCTCGTCCCTTTTAATTAGGACCCCAAGAAGGTGCCCCTAAGTTCGGAAACCCCCAGATGAGGAGACCTGGTACTGGTGAGTTCTTGTGTTCACAATTTATGCTGGAAGGGGCTGATGAGTCAGCATGGGTACTCGGAACAAGGTGTTGGCGTTGGCGCCTTCGTCTTCGATGATCGTGGCAGAGTGCCTTGCCATCTCTGTTTTGTTGCATGTCCCCCGGTCGGCCATGCCCCCATGACGAGTAGGGCGAAGGTATTCGCCACGTATCACTCCCTCATCGGAAGATGAGATCATCGTTTATGCCGGACCTCTGCAGACGCTGCTCCATTTCACCCTCCACCCTCACCAAGGCATTTTCTGCTAAAGATTTGAATGCCACACCCCACCGCCCAATAATCCTCGTCCCAATATTCAGCTTGTACCAGACTCTCAGGTCCTCCTTGTCAAGAGGAGCTCTTCGGCTCGGACTGCCCCCGGTTGCTGGGCAAGGCTACGGCGGCTACGGAGGGGGTTTAGGGTTTAGGTTTGGGCGTGGGGGTTCTCATGGTATGGTGATGAGGGTGTAGGGTTTTCAGGGTTTAGGATTTGTAGGGCTTTAGTTGGGATCTTGTCGTTGCGAGTACTCCTGGTTGTCACGGCTACTGCGGCTACAGTAGAAGCTGTGGTGACAGGTGCTGAGGGTTTGGCAAGGTTCTAAGGATTCCAGGGGCTTGGCTTTCTTCCGCCTGGCTCTTAGGACTTTAACTTTTGGGCTTTTGTAGAAACTACAATAAGAAGCCAACAAGTTAAACTTTTAGGAGGGGTGCCGAAGTCAGCCAAGGGGGGGAGACCGGAGTTTCATCCCTTGGGTTTGTCGCGCAGAGCTCTGGTAGACAAGATTGCGGGGTGCTCCGGCCCAAGTGTATAACGGATGCGTGCTTGCATTGATTCGATCGTTAAGCCCCCTATACACACGGAGTCCAAGGAGAGGAGTTGAGGACGTACTCCAAGCCCATGTCGTACGTGTAGCTGCTCCTGTCCCAAATCGAGTTCTTTGTGTAACAGACACCGAAAAGACGAACAAAGACCCTGAGCCCCGCACGAGCTCTAGAGATCGTGGGTTCCTTGAACCCGGGGTTCCGCAGCATGAGACCCCACGCCCTAAAGCCCTATCAAAGCCCCAAATAAAACATAATAAAACCCACTGGAAAGCCATTGAAACCCCTTGAGACGTCCGCACAAGGCCCGGGGGCGCCATCGAGTACGGGGAGTCCTGCGAGGCAGCCCTCGCGCGCGAGCTCAGGCCGTGCAACTGAGAATTTCCCCCACCCCCCCAACCAAGCTCGGAATCCTTCCGTTGCACCCTTTTTTTGCCCCTTTAGGGTCAAGAGGAGACTTTGGAGTTCAGGGGCCATGCCACACCGTTGTTCCAGATCAGGATACTTGTTTTGGGTGATCCCTTGTTATGAGGATTCTGTTCGTAGACGGCACCTACATGGGACCCGGATGTCCCAAACACCCCCCTATACGACCCCTTGGATGGCGGGTAGATGTAGATGGCCACAAGTGAAGAACTTGCAACGCACAAACGCCATCAGCAGCTATCCAACAACGGCTCTCGGTCAGGGAAGAGACGGGCCTGGACATTGTGGCCCCAGAGCTCCTCGATGTCGGCACCTCAGATAACCTCAGCAGATTGTGTGCTTGGGGACCGACAATGACATCCGAAGTGCCACTACTGTATAGCTTCCGTGCAAAGTGTCGGGACCTGAACTCAAGAACCCTGAGCCATGGTGGGTCAAGTAGAAGGCATGAACTGTTCTGTCTGAGGTGACCTCGCAGGCGTCTTCTTCAAGCCATTGGGTCTCCATAGGCGCGAATCGGGTCTCAAATGTTATGTGCTCTTAGTCCGATTGCCGGTGCATTCGCATCGCTGCGCCGCGCACCGCAGTGCAGGCGGCGTAATCGAAGCGGCGCATGCAGGCTGCGTATAGCGCGTGCGGATGCATGCAGCAGCGTCTGTGGCGGGAGCGGCGTTGGCGTCGCCGCAGCGTCAGGACCGCCCTGTAAACCCTCTAGATACGGAAACCCTCAACCTATGGCGAGCCATCTGTTTTTCTGGCCAGGCTATATTGCGCAGCTGGCGCCGGGTTGCTCCGCAGAGTCGGCGGTCAATCGTGAGCCTGCCGCAGCCTCTGCACCTGTAGGCTGTCATATCCTTAGAGAGAGACTGTATACACCTATATAGCTCTCTGCAAGCCCTTGAAATAAGTGTTAAAGATATATCTAGTAATATAGTAGAATGTATGTATGTATGTATGTATGCATGCATGTATGTATGTATGTATGTATGTATGTATGTATGTATGTATGTATGTATGTATGTATGTATGTACGCTATGTATGTACGCTTTCAAAGGCACGGGGCAGAGGAGGGAACGGGAAGGGCGGCCGCCGTGAGGAAGGTAATAGGTAACACGAACGAGCACGGAGGCTCGATCGAACTGAGTACAAAGTACGAATCAGATCGGGACTCGTGACTCGTGTTGCAAAGTGCTTGGAAACGTTGCCCTGTTTCTTAAGTCAGGTTTTCAGGGGATAGGTTTGAAACCTAGTGACCGGACCCTGATGTTGGACCCCCGAATATTCACAACAGCAGAGGGGCCGGGGGGAAACTCTGAAGGCCCCTCACTCTTGCACTCGAAACTAAGCCTGGTCCTAATGAGGCGAAGCATGACGAGCTGGGGTTCTTTGACTTGGAGGACCGAACAGAAGACGGATAAAATTGGACCATTTTGGCCTCGGGCCACATTGGCAGCTGTTGGCAAGCGAGTCTGTGCTCTGCTGGGAATGGTCTAAGACTCCCTGGTCCCGGAAAAGTGGTGCGAGCGCCGATGCACAGGATCTGCCCACCCCCCTGGCAGACTTCACTGCTCCTGCGCTGGAGTCGCTGCGGGCCAAGCGACGGCGTCCAGGGGATGCGCCGTGAGAGTCTCAAAAAAGCCGAGCGGTGGGGAAAAAAAAAAAAAACACTACAGGCTTCTGATCGGAGAGCTTTGCCACCAGGCTGTGAGTGGCTGCTTCGAGTGTCCGATATGAGTCGGTGAATTTAGAGAAGGATTAGGGTTTAGGGTTTTAGGGTTTAGGGTTTAACCTTCAATCTCAGCCAGGCCGCAGCTGCGACGTCTTTAGGACCTCAGGTCCTCGACGAGCCCGGGGCTTAAGGCTTCAAGAGATGTAGGGTTTAGGGTTGATAGGGTTTAGGGTTTAGGGTTTAGGGTTTAGGGTTTAGGGTTGAGGGTTGAGGGTTGAGGGTTGATAGGGTTTAGGGTTAGGGTGAGAGTGCCGCCACCTACCTCTGAAGAGTGAAAGAGCTGCGGGCTCAAGATGTCCGACTTAGGGGCAGCCTTCCGGATCTTTCCGGCAACGGAACTGAACAGATTTGTTTGATTAGTGCTGTTGAACCGCGATACTTTCAACCAGAACCGACAGTCTGATAAACCCCCAAATCCATAGCCCTTGCACTTCAGTAGTTGAAAAAGAAGATCCCAGGCCATCACCGGCAGTTCTGCGCCTTGCGGGCTCGCTGGCGAGAGACCCAGATATTCGGCGATTTAGGCGCGCTCAAATGGAGCACGCCAGAACCACTGATTGGAGGCATCGATGCCGCCCGAGCACGTCCTTTGATTTTCTACGTTTCGTATGTGAATGCAATGTGGAAATCTCGGAAGCTTCTACCTTGGGATGTTCCCCCTTATGCTGACAGTCCGTTTATAGTACCCCCTATTGTAATCCCGATTAAGGACTGTCAATATGAGGGGGAACATCCCAAAAAATACATTGGCGAAGGTGTGGCTCTGGTACGCCCGGCCGAACCTGGACTTCGTGGTCAAGTTGGAGGCCCGCCGGCAGATCTTGGGTGCCTGACCAGCTTGACATCGCCAAGTGCCGAGGTTGAGGGTTTCGGTCTTTCATTGAAGAATCCGCCCTCAACCCTAAACCTTAAACCCTAAACCCGAGCTGCCTCCTCTTAGCAATCGCATCCTAGTCGGAAGGAAGCCGTAGTTGGGCGTTGACGCTGCCCAGGATACCGCGAAGGTTCCTCTCGCACCTTTCCTCGACCAGGCCCGGCTCAGGACTCGCAACGACTCAACGTCTAATCCCTAAGAAGGAAGCATAACGAAACCCCAATAAACCCTAAACATCCCTAAACTAAACATCACATCACGGCAGAGGAGTTCCATGAATTGCGTTGTGAGGCTATGCTGGAAGGCTGCTATCTACTTACACCTGCATCTTGAGTGTTCACATGGGTTGAGGATCCAGAAGCTTAAATGCACAGATGTTTGCCCCAAGCTCTTAAAGCCCTGTAAGTCCTCTGCCCGGTATATCCTAAACACCCTGAAGCCCAAAAGGCCTTGGCCCCAAACTCTTGAGACAGGTTGTGCGGCATGCTGACGAGTCGCTGCTGCCAGTACCTTGGGCGAAGGAACACCCAACGCTACAAGCTTTGAGGGAGCTTTCGGCTGCTTGGGGTTTGCACCTTACCGCGAGGGTACCTAGCACACCGCAACACCTATGCACTTAGGGATGCTTTTTGGGGCATTCGCGCCGTTCCCCAAATTCCCACCAATCCCTGCATGTCAAGAGCCGAATCCAAGCCCCAAACCCTAGTGGCCAATAGTGTGTGGGGGTTTACGATAGTAGGGGCACCTTATTGGGGCCCACATTCTAAAGGGATCCTATTATTTGGGGGTCTATATTAGGGGTCCCTCATCATCGTAAACCCCCAGGATACCCTTCCAGTGAAGCGGGCCCCCATTATGTTGCCAGTATCGCGGCCTGAGGCTGGGCCACATCGTTGAGGACTTTCCGGTGTCCGTCCGCAGTCGCACCAGCGACGAGGCCTTCCTTGCTCTTCCGGGTTCATGGCTTATAGGGGCTTAGGCTTTGGTGTTTATAGTCACTGGTCGTGGACTTCGGGCAGCTTAATTGCGCTGATTGCCCCATCTTGCAGCCCTGCAAGTGTAATTTACAATCGCCAACGTTGCGTGGATCCTACGAAGGTTTTGCGTGGGGGGCTGTGTAGCTGCGCCGACTGTCGCATATATGCTCATAGGCACCATGTGATGCCTCTCGGAAGAAAGCACGTCATGCACACTTCCGTACAAGCCCTTACACTACGCCCTGGCTTGAATCTCCGACCCCCGTTGCCTGGAACATCGCAGCTGCAGATTGACAGCCATTGAGTGTACTCTAATTATAGTCGCTTCTTGTATTCTCAGGGCAGCTGTTAATGGCTCGATGCCATGGACGCCGCTCAATGCGTGTTCCACCTGGTGCCGGCTTGGAAGCCAGCGCTGTTTGCGTGAATCCCAGCATGCACAATTCTGAGTTTGACTTACGAAAAGCTGTCGAAGGTGTTGAGGGAATTCAGGGCATGTTTCAACGCTCGTAAACTCCGCACTTTGGCATCCTTACTTGTGTGTCACTGAGGTCACTGAAGAGAGGTGTGTGCAAAGCTCCTAAGCCCTAAAAGCCGTACAGGCTCAGTCAGCCTCCCGAAGATCGATTCCAAGCTGCCGCTCCAGCCTCGGCAACAGAAGCCCGGTTGCACATGGTGCGCCTGCTCAGGCCTTCAGGAGCCAAGGCCATTCATTGCACGCAACAGTTTCGCAGACATTCTCAAGCACGGCATGTTGCTGCGGCATATGCTTCATCCACCCCGTCATTCACCAAACCCCTGTATCGAAGAAGGGCTTGTCTCCTTTTGACGTACCACTTGCTTACAAGCTGGCGCGGGGACAGCACCGTCTTGGTCTCCTCCACGGTTGCTAGCTCCAGTGTTCCGAAGCCCCGGTTGGCATCTTCCTCAAGGAATGCAACCCTTACAGAAGCCTCAAGCATCCTAAAGACCCAAAGGCCCTCTACAAAGAGAACACAACTCCGACAGCCCTAAACGCTAGACTAGCTTATCCTAAAGCAGTATACACCATTTCCTGAAGGCACTGAGATGAACTTTCGCCGCTCGGCCGCTTTGGCCTTGGTCGCCGCCATAGTGGCTCCAAAGCGGGCGAGGGCCAGGCGAAGCGAGGGGGCCGTCAGGGAAGGATGAACATGGATGGGAGTGTCAGAAGAGTAGGGGTCCCTGTTTGGGTGGCTTTCTATCCAGATGGACCACAATTGTTGGAAACTCCCATAGGAGGTATTAAGGCATAGGTTCCATTTGGGTAAGGGGTCGGATGATGCACGCAAGGGTCGGCCGAAACATGTGCAGTTGTGGATTACCTTTCCAGATTGCACGGAGAGGTGTACAAACATCGATGAGTGCCGCGAAATTGGAGGACGGATGCTGCAGCAATCCTGTAGAGCTGTTTACCAAACATGCCCTTGACCTTGGGCTTGTCTATGCAGCAGATATCAAGTGCTTTCAGACAACAGGCTTTCCCGCATAGGCAAACTGTGCAATCCCAACCGCCTCAAAATTTACAGGCTTTATTCGACCAATCTTTCCTGGGGTTCCAGTGCTGCAACATGCACTTTCTTTTGGTATCCCGTACCTCGGAGCTGCATCCTTCCATCAACGAAAGCCCCAAACCCTCAGAACCCCCAACCCCCTAAACCTTGAGCCCTAACATTTCTCAATCGCATGAGCCCTTCAACTGCCAACCTTCTAAAACCCACATCCGAAGGTCTCCAAGACCCTAAACCCCTAAACCCCTAAACCCCTAAACCCCTAAACCCCTAAACCCCTAAACCCCTAAACCCCTAAACCCCTAAACCCCTAAAACCCCTAAACCCCTAAACCCTAAACCCTAAACCCCTAACCCCTAAACCCCTAAACCCTAAACCCTAAGCCCTAAACCCTAAACCCTAAACCCCGAGTTCATCCCCCCCAGCACCAGATCGGCGCAGCGACGAGCTCGAGGCCGCCAAGGGCGCCCTCGTGGACTTGGGCCAAGGCTTGCGCTACCGCGAGGCCAGAAGATGGCTATCTATATATATGTATATAGAGAAATATAGAAATATATATATATATATATATATATATATATATATATTTCTATACATATATATGTATGTATATATATATGGAAGTTTAGGTCTTAGGGCTTGGGTTTGGGGTTTTAGGATTTCTTGACGTGGGCTTTCGGGTTCTATTCTATCTATTTATCCAAGAAGCGAGGGCCAGGGGACTCCAAGGTACAGCATGCCTTCAGGGAAACGAGTTATCGATCTCTGCCTTCTCCTCCTAGGTCCGGGCCAGCGTACACTTTTCTGACATGTTTGTGTATGTATATATATATATATATATAGATACAGATGTTTATATCTTTAAATGATAGAAATATACGTAGTATATGTATATGCTAGTATAATACATATCCATATATACATATAGTATGTGCGTGTGTGCATCCTCGTTTTCGGATGACGGGAGCGATCATCGGGTACAAGTTACAGTAATAAGGTAGCGCTGGCTTCTTCACGTTCCGGGGCCCCTTGCGAGCTGCGAGGCGCGAGTCGGCACGGGAGCAGAAGTGCGGGAGGACAGCATCGTGGAGGTGACCTTTGAAGCCGCATGCACGCATGGGTTCGGGTCACCTTGCAGATCAGAAAGGCTCAGGATCGCAGGTCTTGCTTCTCTTCCGCAGGTAGAAGTCAAAATCAAACCCTAAACCCTAAATCCCAGAACCAGCCCTGAAACCTTAAGCCCTAAAAACCCTAAACCCTACAAGCCCTAATTCCCAAAGCCTCCCCTAATTCCCATCTAAACCTACCCATGCCCTCAGCCTTGCAGCGCCCCGGAGAGCCGAGAGTCTGAAGATTCCCGCGACGCTCAGGTGCGCGCCACGGTGGGGGACTACATCTACAGCTACGGCCGCGGGCGGCCCGATATGCCGAAGAGCGACTTCGGGGAGCTCCCGTTGCGTTTATCCTGTCTTGGGTTGCTAAGTTCCACGAAGCTTAGGATTTTGGGGCTGTAGGATGATAAGGACTCGGTTCTGGGGTGTATGGGGTCCTTTCTCCTTTCTTGACATTGGCTTTCTTCGTGATACCATCCGCTTGTAGACCGGGAAGAAGAAAACTCCAATATGTTCTGTACGTCCCAGAACCACCGAGTCTGCCTTGAGCAGCCGTTCCGTCCGTTCCATTTCTTTGACTGGCTGCAAGTTGCGCTCCCAGGAGACCTAGACTACAGGGGCGAACGCTTGAAGATTCACTCAAAATGTCATAAACGTATTGCGAACTACCCCAACTGAATCTCCAAAGAAAGAGGAGACATACCGGGTTCAACTTGGACAAAGAGCCGTACCCGTGGGAGTGGAGCGTGCCATGTCCAGATCTCAGGCTGAGGACATCGTGCATCCGAAGCCATGTGAAGTCATAGCCTGTGCTGAGTGCAATGTGACAGAACGCCTCAGCTAGAATGGGGTACTGTTTGGCCACTATAGAAAGAGGAGTCTTTAGAGCCCGTGGAGCTCTCACTTTCCATGCTCAGCAGGAAGGCTCAGCAGCTGGAAGTGAAGTCGAGTGGGCTGAAAGATGCGATTAGGGTTAGGACGGCTGAAATCTCGTCAACATGCCTGGACAAACAAACATACTTGGGCATCTGATTTTCGGTGTTTGGCGCACCCATGTCTTTCGCCCAACTGTTGGCCAAGCAAACCGCTGACGCGCGGTCGCAGCGATTTGGCGAGGCCATGGTTTGGGCTCATGATCAGCTTGTATTTTGTAGGACTCCTGCTGTTTAGGACGTTGCTTGCATGAGCACTCGGCAAAGCGCGTCTCCCGAGAAAGTGATAGTGATCCTGCAGTGATTATATGCACTGGCCACAGATCCACCGGATGTTAGGCTAAAACTGAGGATCCTCCCTTGAAAGCTCTGATGTCATGGCAGCTTTGTAGCTCTCACGGCTCTCACGTCCACCTTAAACTGAAGCCAGCTCGAAAAGGCAAGACTTGAGATAAATCTGGTGATTCCCAAGTCCATCGGTCCAATTGGCTCATTCACTTAGTAGCCCAGCGGTACCCCTTTTTCTTTTTTTGGTTCACAGTTCCTTAAAATGTAACCAACCCAAAAAAGGGTGCCCTCATTAAAATATGGCTACTGGGCTACCAATGTCAAGTTGCTGCAATAGCGCAGCTTAGTCCGCTTCACTAAAAATTCTGCTCCTTGCGAGGCCACGGATAAGCTGAACCGCTGGCTGACGGTTCAACTTGCAAGGTTTCAGCAGATCTGCCACACGGCCAGCAAGAACGGAGCAGACAGCGCCCGCTGCAGCATCAGCGAGGCTTGACGGGCTGGATTTGGGTCCACGGCTTATATGAGGGCCATGCTGACGCGGCGTGGAATCTAGCATCTTCTCAGGAAGTGAGAGAGGGACCTCGGCCTTGAGTTCCTTGGGTTATAAACTCTGCGGAAGGAGAGAAGGAAGGCTCAAGGAGGAAGTAAGCGAGAGGGAGAGACGGGGATTATGGGCCAAGTAGGGGGAGGTGGGGTTAGCTGCGGTTGTGGGGGGGGGGGGCTGAGTTTGCCGAGGTGTAGGTGAGCTAGGAGGGCGGAATCGACTGGTCCCGTGCCCTTCTTGCCAGTACGAATGCGAACTGTACAGGGATTTTCTCATGCCCCAGGAAAGAAAGAGACGGGGAGGGGCAGAAGCGAGGAAAGCACATGCCCGTCAACCAAGGATATCCAACGCAAAGAGAACCCCGCAAAGCCCATCATGAACACCATGCACCCCGGGGCCAGAAACCCTAAGCCCTATATAAGCCCTGAGCCCTAAGCCCTAAACCCTAAACCCTAAACCCTAAACGCCCCAACCAGGTGGACCTGCAAGGCTTTAGCTTGCAGGAGGTTTGCGACAAGCTGAAGCACAAGCTCAGCAGCTTCCGGGCCAAATCAAGACATGCTTATTTCGATAGGGAATGTATCCTGAGTCTTGGGTCTACATATGTATATATGTGTGTATGTATGTACATATATAATATGCATACATATGTATATATATATGTATATACATATATGTATATATATATATATATATATACTCTTTGTTTCTTGTTTTGTCTTGGAATTTGCATGTCTGCGATGCAATAAACGGGTCCTCGGCCAGCCCGTTCGCCAGGTCTGCAAGGTGGGCTTTACCATTTTCACAAAACAATCACAGGCATCATTTTCGTCCCTTTCACACTTCCCTGGTGCCGAGACCTCAAACCCTATAAGCACCCTGCAATCCTGGGCTAAAGCCACGTATGAACTTCCGATTTTAAGCCTCCCAAGAGCTATATGTAACATCTGAGTGTAACTTTTCAATATTCTCTAACAGCCACTGTTAATGTTCATCATGATCAGTAGATACTAGCTGTTCCAAGCTAGTTTGGCCTGAGTTTGGACCCAAGCCCAGGTCTGGGTCTTGCAGAGCTGTCGGTGCTTTGCGCCCCTTGCTCCGTTCCCGGGGATTGGGGGGGGTTTTTGACACGGATTTTCGGATCTTGCTGTAGGCGTTGAAAATGGGTTTCGGGCTCTAATTTTGGGCGCTTGCAGCAGTTCTGCGAGCCAAGCTCCCACTGGCCACTGAGTCCATGGGCGTCGTCACCCTCCACGCCTCCTGGGCCGGCGTGAAGCCAACACCTGAGGATCAGGCGAGGGACATGCCCAGGCCGCTTGGCCTGGCGGGTCTCCTATCCGGGCCTTGCGCGGATGTGCAGGTTGCTGGCAGGAGCATTGCGCTGTGTTGCTTTGAGGATTTGGTGTTATCCTCGCACCTTCTCTTCGTTGCGGAGCCAGGTCTAGGCCAGATAAGACTTCCATAGATTTGTCATATATCACAGTCCTAGAGCCCCCTCCAACCCATGTCAAGTACATGGGCTTCAAGGCTTCGCCGACTTCGTGGGTGGCTTCGGGGTTGCATGTGCGGAGCTGAAGTGCGGAAATTTGGGAGCATCGGTTTCTCTTCCTTGGTGCGGGCTTGTGGATGACAGGCGCCGCAATAATCTACATCAGGGTATTTTTGACCCTCAACAACACATTTTTAGCTGAAGCCGAGGAAACGCAAGAAGCCCTCCGGGGGAATGAGCAGAACCTGCAAGATCTGCGAGGACCGCCTTTGAAGGGTTTTTGGGGGGCTCAAGGGAACGCTCGGGACCTTGCAATGAACCTCTGATTCTACGACGTTCCATCCGAGAGTGCTGGAAACCTCGAGGGTTTTGGGGATGCTTGGAGCGTTGGGGATTTCAGGCGACTCTAACATTCCGCTCCGACAACCTTGAACATGCCTTAGTCCCATCGCGATGTCGAAGGACATGCAGCCCATGGTGGTTTTGTCGCCATGTGGCCACGTCCTCTGCGTCACTGAGCTGCCTTTGTTGTGTTCAGCTTCGGATCATGCAGGAGTTTTTTCAACACATTAAGGCCCACCTTCTTCTGGCGGCATCAAGATAGTGGATCCGGTCATCCGGTCTTCGGAAAATCTCGCGGAGGGGGAGCGCTCTTTCCTCGAGTTCAGGACTTGAGGTAGGGGCTTTCACCTCTTCGAAGAGTGCATCTTGCTGCGGATTTCTGCCCCAACCGCCCCAAACCCTGTGGACCCTAGACGAAACTGCTGTCGCACATAAGGTTTTACTTTTACTTGAACATGTTTTTTTTGTTTACCAAGGGTGGCCTAAAATTCACGACAGTTCTTACAAGAATTCCACGAAGAGACTACCTCAAACCTTGTAGACCTACCATGGACTCAGGAAGACTGCAACCTGGGTCGCGACGGAGATCGATGCCCGTTCTGCCGCCGGCCAGTTTGCTGTGCTTCAGATGGGCTCTTCATCGACTAAGACAGGCCCTTAAGGTGTCCAGTTTGGGGTTTAGGGTCTGTTGGTGCTAGCCTCAACCCGACAGACGCTGTATGGGAGTATCGACCTGAGACTTGAAGTTATCTACGATTTGCTTAAGCACCACCAATAATAACGAAAAAGATATTCTTCCTTACAAGGTTTTTTTTGGGGGGGAGGGGGAGGGGGGGGGTGGGTGGTTGGGGGGTGGTGGGGGGGGTGGAGTTCTTAACCAAATAGAAGTTCTATTGTGAGACTTCGGCTTCTTGGCAGTTCCTGACCCGAAATCGCATTGCCTCTTCGTTCCAACTGATTTAGTGTGTAGGGTTTAGGGTTTAGATTATAGGATGGGTTTGGAACTCCAGGTTCGTGCTTCGAGTCGTGAAGAACCCACTACATACAGGGCATCGTTGAGATGCGCGCATCTCTACGATCTTCTAAGCGCGGTGCTCTCATGTGTTCTCCGTTGTTGCCAGTAGCGTGCTCGCTTTCAAGTTGTGCAGGGCAGCAGGCCAAGTACCTAAGCGGAGAGAAGGAAGGACCTCGATGTGTCGCGCTGCCGCGATTTCAGGGTCGAACGTCAACTATGCCATCGTTGGACGTAGTGCATGAGAGGGCGCCTGATGCAGATATGTGCTAAGCCTGGCTCCCCCTCCCAAGCTGCACACATCGGAGGGGCTTCAAATGCTTCATCTGCCAGACGCGACGTGCCAGTCCACATTGGGAGGTTGTCAAATGGGAGGTTGTCAAAACTAAATAAGAGCATCAAGACAGGCAGCAGTGCTCTTCTAGGGTATCCCAAATCTAGACAAACCACCCGAGTGTCTGGCTCCTGACTGTACATAGCTAGCTGAGGGAGATCTGGGTCCGCTCCGAGAGGGAGGGCGGGTTGATGACAGACATCTGATCCGAAACCTCCAGGGCTTTGCAAGGCGAAAGGGGGTTTAGCTAAATTTTGCTTTGGAGGGACGACTGTGATAAAGCCACACTTCACGTTTTTTTGGTGTTTTTGCAAAGTGGATCCAAAGGTCAGAGTCTAATGAGGAAGACTGCCGGTCACGTGACAAAGAGACACGTGGCAAGAGGATTCAGTGGTTCTTCGCGTCTGAAGTCTGAAGGGCTCTGCTTTCTGTGCCTGTGACGGGCCCGCGATCGTGAGGGAAGCACTGGCGATCATGAAAAGAAGCTTTCTGCCGCGGACATGCTGGAACTTTCTGGTCTAGCAATAGCGTCCTGGTCAGATTGCAAGAGTTTGGGACACTCGCCCAGGCTGGGCATGCGCCAGGGCGGTATCCGAACTGCCCGGGGCTCTGCGAAGGTCGTGTCTGGTCAGCGACTCTTGCTTTGTATGTTGCCGTGGGTATGGCCTGCAGTATGGCTGCTCAGGTTGAACTATCTCCTCAGCACCTTACTTGCATGTGGGGGTATACGTTAGGGGGTACCTGAATTGGGTTCCTTATTGTAAGAGGATCCTACTACTGGGGGGTCTATATTCGGGGTCCCTGATTATCATAGGCCCCTGTGTGATGGCAGGGCAGTTTATGTAGCACCATGAGCGGGATCTGATATAGGAGCCTGGCGCATGCCCACTTTGCTTCACATGCTTCATGTCTCCCCAAGTGCCCTACAAAGGGGTGAGGCATGATGCCCCAGCATGCTGATCTTCCCGACGGCATCCTGAAACGTTCCCCTAACCTCGAATTCCTGGAATCCCATCGGCTTAGAACCCGGAAAGCGGGAACCCAGGGTATACAAGGGGCATGTAAGTTAAGGGTCCCCCAATCCATGTTAGGGGACCATGTAACCCTAAGCCGTAAGCCCTAAACCCTCCTTCTGAGGTGGGGCTTCCAGACCTCAGACTGGCGGCCGACGCCCACGAACTACTCCGGCCAGCCCCGAGACCTGCGCTTAGTAGAAGGAATTTTGGGTTCATAGCCTGACTCATAAGGGTTGAGGGTTCAGGGTTCAGGGTTTAGCCTTCCGTTTTGGATTCATAGGATCTTGAAGGGTAGAGGGTAGGTCAATATTGGGGGGGGGGGGGGGGTATCTCCGGTATTTTCAGTGCAGAGGGTCTTGGGGGGTTATGGGGTTTACAGGCTAAATAGGGTTGTAGGGCCACACAGCTTGGGGATGTGTATGCTAACAGCTTAACAGAGGCAACGACAATTACGAGAATATCAGCCCCACAGAATCCTTTCACCTTTCGCTTGAGAGAGGTTATGTGGCAGTGTTCAGCATGACGCCACTATAAAGAGAGCACATGAAGCCACAGGGTCCGGCGTGGCGTGAATGCACGACAGGCCGGCCACTGTGTTTGTCAGTAGGGGTCTAGATCCCTTGAAACTCCATAACCCAATCCTCAAGACCTTCTACCCCTAGACCCTACAAACACAAAAAAAGACTTACAAACCAAATAGCCTCATGACACCTTATGCAGCCCTATAACCCGACTGTAAACCCTCTGCAGGCGCCGCATGGAGCGCTTTCGTCAGCTGCTGACTGGCAATGGCAGCCAGCCGGGGCTCCCTGGCTGTAACGTCCTGGGACCACCTGGGGCACCCTCCTCTTCGCAAGATGGTCCGAAGATAACTCGCCACACATCATATATGATATCTTTGATATATAAATATATATGTATACATATTCTTATCAGTATGTATATATGATAGATTTTATAGTTTCGGGTTGTGATTCCAGGTGCGCAGCGACAGTGGAGTCTGGTTCTCCTAGGCCACATGGGCAGCTCTCCAAATTGTGTTGCCCTTTTGGGTCCCCGATTTTGTACCCCAAAGAATGGGGCCCTGATTTAGAGAGCTACCCACACGTTGGGCCAGGTTGAGCGCGGGTGCTTTGTTTCAGATGGGCGATATCGGGGCGTGAAGGTGCCTGGCAGATTTGCAGAAGTGTGTGTACCAACCGAGACGACAAGGTACAACGCAGCCATCCTGTTCGAAGTCGAGGTGGTCCGCGTCGTGAAGCCCTAGCTGATATCAAAGCAGGCGAAAGGTCTACGCTTCCCTTAATTCTTCATTCCGGTGCTTAGCTGCACGCTCGGCTCGCCTCCTGAGCTAGCTGTGAGAGAGCTTGACCATCCGGTGATCACACAGGCTCTACATAGACGTCAGATGAACAAGAGCGACGCACAGGAAGCACTAGTCAAATTTCAGCGTGGAGCTGTGCATTCGTCCGCAAGAAGGTTGCGTTTGCCACTGTGCTGGACACTGCTGGCCTCGTCACAAAACACTCTCCAAAGTGAGACTGTACGTGCATGATTCTGTGACTACCCTGCAATTGCGGGATAGCGGATAGCGTGGGCTTTATGCAACTTTATGCACCATCTCCGCGCGCCCAGCAGTTTTTGCACAGTCGCATGCCAAAAAACTTGCTGCGCAAGCGCCTCAGCGTGGCTCCGCTTCTAGCAAAAGAGAGCTCTTCAACTTTCTTCAGGTGTCTTCCTTGCATCGCTTGCTGTGTAGGAGCAACGGCAAAGCACGCCGAATGGTAGCCATGTCAAGGGCTATCCGGATCCACACATACAGACACACGCGCGCGCGCGCGCAGTCGCACTCTCTCCACCACTTTAAGGCTTGAGGTTTTCATGGTGTGCCTTGGCAGTCGGTTTCGTGTTCACCTCGGCAGGCCTGCGAAACCTGTCCCCTGCCTGCGGCAGCTGAGCGGTTCTGCACGGGGCTCGAGGGCGAGTGGTGGTGTCGGGGATGGAAGGGCAGTAGTGGATCGGAGGGGCCCGATGGGGCCCTGAAGCAGCAAACTCTTAACCCATCTAAACCCTCAGAACCCTAACATGTATCCCACCCTGATGCTTGCACCTGAGGCCAGGAGATGATACGAGTCTCCATGTCAGGTGCGCGCCCCAAGATGTCATGAGAAGCCGCCCTATAATGGTTCAGAAGAAAGGGTTTAGGGTATGTGGCGGGGCAGGGGCTCGTCGTATCCCAAACCCTGGTAACTCCTGCGCTCCAGGTATGGACCTGCGCGGATGTCTGCGGGTGGCTGCAGAGTGCCTGGGCTGCCCCAAAAAGCTTTCAACATTCCCCAAACCCCCCCCCCCCCCCGAACCTTGCAGTAGACTGGGTCCCCAAACCCCAGAAGCAGTGAACCAAGCCACCTGCAAGGTGCTGCAGCCTTGGCCAGGGGCCTTGTGAGTCTGTCTGAGGAAGCATCCATGGCAGCCTCCGAATCATTGCACCAGAGGCCAAAACGTATAGTATAGTATATCTGATGATCCTTATCGTGGCTACTGGTACCTGAGACTGCGCGCCCGTTTCCCAGGTGCCTGCGACGAGGCACGGCTCCTGGACTGCACGTCGGCTGCGCGCGACGCCGGCGTGGGGCCTACTCGTAAACCTTGGGGCACGGCGAAGGCAGCTAAAGCTCCAAGGAAGGCCTTCCGAGCTACTTGTAGAAATCACTGTCCTGCAGCGCCCTACTTCTTCATGCGCTCGGCAAGGCTCGGAAGCAGTTCTCTACTATGGGACGGTGCGCTTCCTGGCATGCAGCGGCACGTTGTGCCTGCCAGCTAGCTGCCCTATAGCTGTAGCATGGCCTGAGACCATGTTGCAAGAACAGAAGCTCCAATGCCTCGGACAGGCGTACGCGCCCCCGTTCCCGCTGCCAGCGGCTTGGGCTCTGGGCCGGGATCCCATTATTTTGATTTTTTTTTGTGGGGGAGGAGGGGGTATGGTTCAGGGCAGTTTTGTGTAACGCAACTTCGGAGCTTCTGAGGCCTTTTGGGTGTTGATTTCGGGTCCTGGGTTAGTGGCAGTTGGATCTCTGATACCGCTTCTAAAATGTACTAGAGACCCAGCCCAAACCACAATGGTCCGAAGCCGTCTTAGGGTGGGCATCCCGCCGTTCGATTTTTTTCGGTGATGTCCTCTGAACCCTGGCACGCGGATTTCAGGGCGGAAAGAGCTCTAGGGTCCAAGCCAAACTCACGAGCCGCCTTGGCACGCAGACATAACCAAGGACGCAGAGCATTGGAGTTTGTGAGGAGCTCAGCGATATTGCTCCTCCTGTTCACCACACCCTCAAGCCCTACAAGCCCTAAACCCTGCTGGCTGAAGGCCTTGTGGGGTTTCGAAGTCGGGCTGAAGACCAGGTCGTCGAAAATATCGACGACCTGAAGATGAGGGGAGAGGTGCCCATGTGCATGTGGACTACGGTTGTTGTTCTCCCGGTCTCAAGGGCATTTTGGGCTTTAGTTACTATAGTTGGCCGAACACTGCGGTCAGTGCATTAGGGTGAGTGATCTGTTTCTTCTCCCGCAAACGGTCTTCCGAAGGCTCAGGATGTCTTTGCTTGAGGGCTGTGGCTTGCCGGTTGCCCGGTTCCAAAGGAGCGACAATGATTTGCTCAGGACCCAAGTCAAGTCGGGTCGGGTTGGACGACAGATCTGTGGAGGGGAGTGCTGGACATAATTCGGCTTCGAGGTTGACTAATGACAAGTTGCAGGTGTCCTTTCGACAAGTATCGTGCAAGAGAGGACGCAAGTCCCACATCCGAACTTTTCGCCGCCTGCATTCTAGGAGCCGGAGGCCTTGATGGGCTTTTGGCTTGCTGGCCTGGAGGAGCACCGGAGTGCAACCATGAAGACCTGCTCAAGGGGGCATCTCTTCCCTGACAGGGTAGGAGAAGTGGGAATGCACGGAGGGGATCCCTGGAGGCATGAATGATGGACATTTGTTTTTGCCTACGTAACCATACTTGTTCCCAAGCAGCGACTCCCTGTTCAGGATCTGAGGACCGTGGATCTGCCAAACGACTTTGCAGCGGACCTGCAAAATGAACCAGCGTCGCGTCTTGCGTTACTCGTCACGCATCCTTGCAGCAAAGTTTGCAGTGGCCAAGCTTCCCGCCTCCTTTGCGTATTCGGCTCCCAGGGAATGGATGATCAGCTATTCCGATGACGCTACTGCAGTTTGATGAACCAGCTTTCTGTCAAGTCACTAATTATGTCAGCCTGACGATAATACTAGTACAGCATGTACCATTTGTCAGAAGCTGGCTTTCCGGTTCGCTACATGCTCAGTACGCTGAGTCAACATGACATCACAGGGCTGTTTGCTACATCCCCATAGGCTGCCCAACATGTTGGCGACTGCCGTTGCTCGAAGCGGCCGTGTGGCGAGTATCCCAAGATTCAGTAGTGACACAAGTGGTCCTGGAGAGCTTGTGTGCTGAAGTCACGCTATTGCCGCAACTGCGATAGCTCCTGAGGGCCCTCCCTTGCTAACGCCTGCCCAAGTCCTGAAGCGTAGCCTCATCGGTACTCGCACACTTGGAGAGACTTGGCACCAATCGTTTGACAATTCCCTTTTCGCCCAAACCTTTGGTATGTGCCAACTGATCTTGTGGGAATGTACCCGCTAGTAGTGCTTTTGTGTGGTTCATGCGTGGAATGAGCTCATGCTGCAGAGGATCTTTGGCCTCAAGGTTCCGTTATCCCTTAAACAAAAGTAACAATACGACTGGCAGCATGGATGCTTGAATTCCTTGAAGAGGTCATGCCACCACTAATTCACACAAGCTCATTCAAGCTAGTCGTTCCCGTGGAGCCCCCCGTATGGTGTGCGATGTGTTGACTTGAGGCGACCTGCGCTGAGAATGATAACAAGCAGGCCGGAAAGTGCCTAGACGCTGATTGCCATGTCAATGTTTCCCGGAAATTCGGAAGTTTGCAAAAAAAGGAAATTCGGCAGTAGATTAGACTGGAGCCGAGCGTAGTATGCTGAGCCATAGAATGCAGTGAATGTTGAAGTTTAGAGCCGGAAGTTGCGATTGAATTGTGGACCTGTCTTTCTAACGGCGTCGTTGCTACGATAACTGAAGGGATAGAGATAGGGGGTCGCCCCCGACAGCTTGCCCTCAGGCATTTCCTCACAAATGCTGCCAGCTTTCCGATGCATGAGGTAGTTGAAGCGACATGCAACAGACATGCAACACATGCGCAGATTGCTATGTTTGGTGTTCTTGTGCTTCTTAGCCAGAAGCGAGCTTTTGTCAATGATCTCCTGGCAGCCAAGGTGCAAGTCATCGCCCCTCCGGTTGAAGGCTCGTGGCAGCAAATGCAGAAAGCATGGAGTCACAAACAAGCTCAAACTTCACTCCAAGGCTTGCCATCGTAAACCCTTCGGTTAATCCCAAGGGAGCTCACTTCGTCTTACAGGGACGGTTGAGCTCGCAAGCCAGCAAGGCAGCCCCGAAAATTCCGATGGCCGCGCAATCTCTCCCCGGATGTTCAAGGTATGAAGTAAAGGCAACTCCAGGGTCTTCTGAGTTGAGAGTCTTCCTTAGGAGGAAGCGGCGGGACGGGCGGCTGATTGTCTGATGTAAACACATGCAGGGATTCGGCACAAAGGGTGTTCGGGCATCTTGAAAAGGAACTAAGTTTTAATTCGGGTTCGTCGAAAACTCGCACGAAGATTCAGATTCGAATCGGAATTCGAACAAGGCATTTTCCACTGAATTTCCGGGGAGTCGCAAAATGTAGGGACATGGATTCGACCAGCAAAAGTAGCAACTTGAGGGGAGTCGAAGAATACGGAGCAAGGGTGTAGGCCGGTATTCCTCTTGGGGGTTGAAAACTCCCCCCCCCCCAAAAAAAGGCCCCGACATTGTGTTTCTCAGGTTGCTGGACGCCCGCCTGGCAGCTGCATGTTAGGCCTGGAGCAGTCGCTGTGTCACCCTGGATCTTCAGCTCTTTATGTGGAAGATGTGCGTCTTCATCGCTGCAGCTTGGCTCAACAGAAATTCGAGATGTTGTCCCTGTAGTAGCTTTACTGCAGTTAGCAGCCGCAGGTGCGCTTGCGCGGGTGAGTCATTGTGAGTCTCTGTGAGTCGCTGTGAGTCATGGTGGAAGTATGTATTTATATGTATGTCTGTACTATTTATAGTATATAGTATATATAAATATGAATATGAATATGAATATGAATATATATATATATATATGTAAATAGAATACTGCTTGTCAACCTATGTTCATGCGATGCTGGGTGGTCAGGCTGCAAGCGCCGAAATGCCCCGAGGAACACGAGATGACCCTCACGTCCTCTGCATCATCGGCAAGACGGGCATCGGAAAGTCAACTCTCTGCTGTTGGCTTGCGGATTCCTGCGACACCACCGTCTATATGGTCTCGCACGGCAAAGAAGCAGGGACAGCTGATGTTGGCGAATCGAGTCATCCGGTCAAGTACTTCGGTGGCCACCTCTGCGGTCCGGATTTTGGGGATGGCTCAAACCACTCTGAGATGCATATTCGCCTCATTGATGTGCCTGGGCTCGGGGGCAATGTGCCGAACAAGTCGGACGGAGATATTCTTCGTGAGTTCAAGCAATACTTGCTCAGCAAATGCCAAGAGGTCAGTGCCTTCCTTTGGTTGGAGGAGCCAAATGTAAGGCAGGATACGAACAGACAGCGCATGATGACGGACTACATTGAGTTTCTCGGCCCCGAGGCTTTGCAACGTCTGGGCGTAGTCTGCAATAAAGCGCCGGGTACCTTGCAGGCCCAGGTGGAGGATGAGGATGAGAATCAGGATGCTGAGGAGAGCCTGGAAAAATTCAGCAACAGCTTTAAACAGATGCTATGCCAGGACCGATCACTGGAATGCCTGTGCTATAGTATGTTGTGGACATTGGCTTTGTTCGAAGGGTGTAGAGAGACGCCAGGGTAGGTTGAAACGGTGCTGTCAATGCTGCTCAGCAAACAAGCAAACTTGTTCAACTGGGGCCTTGAGTCAGCGGCATCACAGTTAGAAAAGCCGCCAGTTCACAAACAAGCCCATAGAAGTAGAGTCGGGTAGAGGCTGACGCTGACCAAGAAACGAGCGAGACACATCCTGGCACAATTCCTGCTGTAAGCGTGTTGCGATGGAGAGTTTCACGTTAGCACCTGCAGAATTTGTGCACGCAGGACATTATCAAGAACGATCCGAAGGTTACCGACTGGGTGAGCAACATCCCGGTGTACGACCTCAACTTGCTCCCCATCGACTCGGTTGCGAAGCGCGGCTGCAGCTCTCCCAGCGAGTTTGTGAAGAAGAAGCGCCTGAACCTCAGCCGCAACATTCAAAACCTGGCCAAAATAGCTCAGTTTGTATGCAGCCGTGTACCGCTGCAAATCGAGCAGATCTCCGCTAGCATCGGCCTCGACGGCTTTGATGTGATGCTGATCATAGGGTGGCCATGCAGGCGCCTGACCCGGAAAGCCTCCCGAAGGTATTCCGAGTTCCGCGCGATGGTGATGGCCGACCTTCCTGAGATCGATGAAAACTCGGTCGTGATGTCGTACGTCTTGGAAGGGAGCAAGCCCAAACAGGTAGACGACGATCGCAGCCTGCGAGTGATGCTGGAAGATTTTGACAAGCTGAATCTTGAACAGAGGGAGCTGTGCGTAACAGTCAATCAGACGGACGTCAATGCTACCATCTACGACCTCCAACATCCCTACTCCAGCAAGGACACTGCGAACAAGTTCAACGTTGCAATGACGGTTTCCTCGTCGACAACAGACGCTCATGTTCGTTCACACCTGGAAACGAAAATGGCTGTTGAGCAAGGTTCCGAGATTCGCTTCTCCTGTGAACATGGGACCTTTGTGAGCATCAAGGACTTCTACCGGCACGTCCAAACCAGCGAGCATGGGGGCCCGGTGTCATCCACCCCGCAAGCCATTGCGACTGCCGAAGTCCCAGCTCGGGGGCCAAAGGCCAAGATCACATTGGATATCGAAGTGCGAAAGCCAGATCCTCCCGAGTTGAGCAGGATGAGCCCAGAGCTGCAGCAGCATCTCAAGTCGAAAAACCTGGTGGCCCTTGCGCCCGCGCTTGCCCAGGATGGGATCGAGCGCCCGTGCCAGCTTGCGGGCCGACACATGAAAAATGGAGTTCCGGATCTTCCGGCTGTGGACAAAGCGCTGCAAGATTCAGGAAATAAAAGCGCACTGTTGGGATCGCTACAAGAACTCAAGCTCCAAGTTGAGCAGGAGCAGGACGCCAAGCTACACGAGAAGGCCACGGCGAAGCAACAGGAGGCGAGCGCTGAGTCGAGCAAGAAGTTTGAGGAGATGAAGAAGAATTGCAAGGAAATCGTGAAAGCGGCTGAGACGCAGGCAAAAGCCAACAGGAACAACGAGGCGAAGATAGTGAGGGAGACTGCGTCCGCTCTCATAAAGGAGATGCAAAGTTTGAACTTGCCCAAGCTCGACGACTTCCAAAATGCCAGAGATGTGAAGTCGCTTGAGAGCATGCTGATGATGAAAAGCGACCTGTCGCATGTCCCAAAAAACAGGAGCACAGCTGAACTTGTAAGCCTCGCCAACATGCAGAACGGAGTTTACCTCGACCCCTTGAAACTCGAAACCTCGATGTGGAAGTCGACGAAGGTGGTCCGTTGGGCCAGCGGAACTACTCCAGATGACCTGGCCAGTTGCTTCAGGTATACATCGCTGTATGCCAAATGCTACACGTCTGAGATCATGACTGAACAGCAGTTCAAGAAGGCTTGGTCTCATCGCGAGCGGCATGGTGCCGACTTTGGTTTCCACGCAGGTTTCCAAGCCGCAGCCAACCTGGGCTGCTTCGCCATGGGCGCAAATATCTCGGCAGCCAAGGAGGACATCGAAGAGAACGAGAGGGCCAGTGGAAAGAAGGAGACCACCTGGTGCATGATGAGCCATAGCGAACTTCCCCAGCTCAGGACCCAGGGCACAAGGGTGCACGACAAATAAAAGCAAAATCGTGTCTTGCCAGTATTGCTGCCAGTCGCTTGTTCTTGGACTCAGTCAGACATCCCCTCGGCTGTTCCTGGCGGCAGGATTGTGATTGACTATCAGCTCTTTGAACTCTCTCCATCGGCTGCCAGCGATCTCGGGGCAGTTGCGCTTGCCTCAGTCGAGTGTTGTTGTCGAAGATGGAAGGTGTTCATAGAGACCGATGCACTTTCAGCAAGTTAAGTTCAGCCTAGGACGGGAAGGTAGACACGAGCGAAGAGGATCTGGCAATCATGCGTTTTTATCACAGATGGGGAACCCACGTGTCCCTCGACGTGACTTTGGGCATTGAGCGTGTGCTCATTGCAAAGTACGCGATGTGTGGTGAGAAGACCAGCAACGATTGGAGAAAAGCGCTGGTCAATTCGCTTGCGTTTGGTGGGTCGGCTTCGCTAGAATTGTCTGGAACGAGAGGTTCAGCGTCCGCTTCCGCAGGCATGGACAAGCACTCGGAGAACGCGACAGCCTCTGCTGAGAAGCAGGCTACCCAGGCTGAGTCCAGTGAGGTTACCTTCGACAAGAGGCTCCGGGCAGCTGAAAGTTCTGACCTCCTACATGTGAGTGACTTGGAGCTGGCGGTGAGGGCCTCGCAAAGCAACGCTGCTTGGACAGTGTTGACTCGCAATTACTCGGACGATGCCCTTGCTCCGATTTGGCAGATAGCTGGGCAGATGCCTCAATTCTCAACGAAGCCGAAGCTTCTTCAAGCCATGGAGCGGGTCTATGTGCAACAGGTGCTCCGACTCGGAGAGCTCTGGGTGATACAGAAGGGGGACTCAGACCCAAATGCTTTCAAAGCAGCCGAAGAAAAAATAAAGCAGTACAAGGCGATGAACAATCCGGACATGGGCGCCTTCCTGAGAGACATGCACGATAAAGCAAAGGACCGCTGGGCGTCGAGCAAAGTGGAGACATGCCGCAACTGTGGGTTGCTCCTCTCCGCCTCCAAGCTTGAAGATCACGAAAGGGAAGACTGCATCATGCGGTATGTCCGATGCACAGCCGAGAACGGCTTCTACGGCTGCGATGAGATGGTCAAGCAACAGCAGCTTAGCCACCACAGAGGGAGCACATGCGCCCGCCGGCCACAGGCGTGCGAGCATTGCCAGGTGGAAGTGGCGTTGAAGGACATTCCGCACCACGTTCTGCACATGTGCGAGCAGGCAATGTTGGATTGCGAGAACAACTTTCGCGGGTGCCAGCAGAAAGTCCGCCGCAAAGACTTCCCAAAGCACAGGATGGTTTGCGATTTCCAGGAGACGCAATGCCTTCGTTGTGGTCAGACGGATGTGCTGCGAAAAGACCTGGCCGAGCATGCAAAGCAGTGCGATTCGCGCCCGGAGCCGTGCGACTTGTGTGGACAGGAGGTCCGCGCCCCAGACACCCTAGATTTCCGGTTCAGGCATCTCGGATCATCTGTGCCTCAACGAAGCGATGAATGCAACATTGATAGGCGCCGAGTTGACTGCACACCTGAAAGTCTCTGTCCTTCTGGCTCGCTCTTGTCTCTGCCTCTGCCTCTGCCTCTGTTGTGCGCCTTGCTGTGTCTGCGCGGCCGAGGTGCTGTTCCGAAACATGGGGCAGCACAAGGCCCAGCAGTGTGACCACCGGATGGTCGCTTGTCGCGACTGCGGCGTGGGGCACAAGAAGGTGGATCAGGATGCCCATAAAGTTGTTTGCGGTGCGATACCTCTTACTTGCAATTGGTGCGGCGCTGAGTTGGTGCTAGCAGGTAGTGTGCACTATGTCGACAGCTTCGTATTGTTAGCAGCGCTTACCAGCAGCAGCTAAAGTCCATAAAGTTTGATCTGCCCACTGCCTGCAGGTGCAACGAGAGCGTGCCTCGACAAGATCTAGCCGGGCACAAGGAAAAAGACTGCAGCATGGCCCCGACAGATTGCCCAATGTGCGAGGACAGGCTTCCAAGGTGCCAACTTGCGGCCCACAAAAGGGATGAATGTCCAAATCGGGAAGAGACGTGCGATGAATGCGGCGAGAAGTTCAAGTTCCGGGAGAAAGCAATGCATCGGCGGTCGTGCCTTCAGCGGGAGGTGAAGTGCGACAAGTGCAACAAGACGATGCCACACTCGCGTCGCACAGCTCATGATGAAGCGCACAAGAAGATGGTCCGCAGGATCCATGCAATGATGGGCTGGTACGTTGATACCATCACCTTCTCTTACTGCAATGGAACTTCGAAAGGTTTTGGCGGCGAAAAAGACCATGGGAATAAAGCCAAGATCTTCGAACTCAACGAAGATGAGCACATCACTATGGTGAGCTGCTACGGTAGGGATAAATATCTCGAGGCGATCACCTTCGAAACGAACAAAAGACGCAGAGTCGATTTCACACCGGAAGGATGGAAACGAGCACCTGCGGCCCATGTGTTCACCGCTCGGACTGGTCAAGCAATCACCAGCCTGCAGCGTAACATGGGCATGGCTGGCCTGGTCACAGGTGTTGAAGAAACGGAGCTCCCCCAGTGACTCTGTGGTTCAAAGTTTTTTGCCTGTCAATGTTCTCCACCATTCGGCTTTGAGCCGCAGCTCTTGATGCTCAGCGCAGCTGAGTGACTCTTTTGCTCAAATTCGGTGCTGTGTGTTTTCTCATCTTGATCATCTTGCAACATTTGGAGATGCAAAGGAAGTGGTGCCTCCAATATGTACAAAGCCCGTTCAGGGCCAGGTGCTTGGTACTTCAAGGTTCAATGCCTTGAGAAGCGAGCGCTCAAGGGCTTCCACTATGCTGATACTATTCCATGCTCGTCCAAGAAACTGCGACACGGGTCATATCTCTTTCTGGACAGCCTTTTTGGAAGCCTAGTGCGTCTTGGTGGTTCAGTGTGTTAAGTTGTATAGTGCCTTCCAATGAATCAGGTTGGTTCAGCGGACGGAAGTGCATTGCAACAACAACCGACTAGAGCAGCACTGAGCATGAGACAAAGGACGGGCCAGGTCCTGCTGCGCGTGCAGCTTTCAGCCAGCACCACCTTCCAAGCTCTTCAGGGTTTCCTGGTGAGCGCATGTTCGCAACGCAGGTCGCCCTTAGCTGCGGAGCTGCCGAGCCAAAGAGCTGCCCTTCCTGATCTTCCGGAGCCGGAAGCCTGGAGGAACGTGGGGTTGAGCGCCTCGGTAAGGAGGGGTGCGTGAGGCTTCATATGTCCCTGGTCAGGATCCGTGAGAACGGCGCGTGACCGTTGGTATGAAATCAGCTCGCTCGGCGGAGCCTGCAATGTCCTGCATTTGTGCAAGAGATGTGGGCACCGTGCTACGGCCAAGGAACGAGTCGCCGCGGTGCCGCATGATGCGGCTTGGGCCTTGCAGCTGTTTCTCAGCTTTGCTTCCAAACCAAAATCCAAAGCCTGCGGCCCAAGCTTCCTAAGCCCAAGCAGGCGACCTTAGGGTGTTCAGGATTCTCTGTCGAGGTGTAATATTTTTCGAGGTCCCTTGTGGCCTTCTGCTCCCGAAGGCCGGCGACACGGACCAGCCTGTGCGATGTGCTCCGAGAGCTCTGAGGCCATACATCAGCTGAATCCTGTGCTAGTGCTGATGCGTCAATGCAGCGCTGCGTACGCCGTCCGCAAGCGCGGCAGCCCTTTTCTTGTTGGCAGTTTCCCGCGCTAGGCTTGAGGTGTCTCCCTTACCTTGGTCACAGACCACATCCCAACGATGGCTTGGTGGCAGGGGCCCCATCTTTAGAGTTTGGGAAGTATACATATATATATATATATATGGCTTAGCGACGGTGAGGCATATAGGGTTTCGGTTTAGGGTATACGGTTTCGGGTTCACGGTTCAGGGCGTTCAGGGTATCATGGTTAGAAGGGGTGCATGACCCTGTATGGCGTTAATGTTTCGACGGACTTTTGCTCTGGCAATGAATTTGTGCATCCGGTTTGGGCGTTCTAAGTTCGAGGGGTTTGGCAAGGCTTGCCTGAGGCAGGCTTTATGACATTATGGTTCGAGGTTTCTGGGCTAGAAGGGCTGCCCGGGTTTTACACTTTGGGGCTCTTAAAGGGGCTTGAAGGGATTGACCGGGGATCATCCCCACCCTAAGACCCTAAGATTTCCCCCAATCCTGCTTGACATGTGTGCTCCGTGACTCGCCACTTCAATGCTCGATGCCAAAAACTGCTCTCAAGGAAGAAAACGTTTCCCCAAGAATCGGAGGGCTTTCGGGGTCGTTACCCTAAACCCTTGAGAAGGGTTTCTGTTGTCAAAACCTGTCACACCTTCAGGGCCCTGCCCTAATTTCCCAAAAACCCTGCTCAGCCTTATAGGGCCCCGAGCTGCCACTTTTGCACCACAAGAGGTGGTACAGAGCTTGGTATAACACACACACACAGAGACTAGGCAGGCCCTTGGGATCTTTTGCACTTTCCCCTTATTGCGGCGAAGAGGATGACAACATGTAGCAATCTTTTGTCGAGGGTGTTTACAGGGCCAACCTACCACTCTGCGGGACTCTCTGCTTGATTCTGCGGGGGTGGGGGGTGAGCACTCGCATCCCGGCGGGAGTCCGCAGCAGGGGCCTGGGCCAGGAGACCCAGGCGAGGAGGAGCGGAAATCCAGAGGAGGTTTAGGGTTTAGGGTAAGACCCACACCGAGAGTGGATATCAAAGGTTGGGCAGGTTTTCTGCTAGGCATTTTGTGTCCCGGAGACCACCTGTGACATCTCAGAAGGATTTTACTCAAATAGTCACCATCATCGTGGAGGCCACTCGGAGGTTCAGGTACTCGGAACCCACCTTGCGCTACAAGCTCGTGGTTATATAAATTAGAAGGCCCTTAAGTACCCTCATGTGGGCCATTACTTGGATTATAAGTTACAAGAAAGTACAAGCATGATGGGTGGGGATGTTCCCCCTTATCCCAACAGTCCTTCATAGGGATTCTAGTACCCCCAATTATAGCCCCCATGAAGGACTGTTAGTACAAGGGGGAACATCCCTAATGATTGGGTTATCATTTGACCTCCCAGGTGCAATGCAAAAAGGGCGCCTTCGACATGCCGCTGCATCCGACGCAAGCTGCGCAGGCCAAGGGTTTGGGGTTTGGGGTTTGGGGTTTAGGGTTTAGAGTTTAGGGTTTAGGGTTCGGTTCAGGGTTTAGGGTTTAGGGGTCGGGGAGCCCTAAACCCTAAACCCTCAGCCCTTGTAGGGTTGAGGATGGTTGTCGGACAGATGCGACGCTGAGGAGCTGGGGGGCGATACTGTTTTCTACATGTTTGCTTCAGCATCAGTCGCGGCATTCTGGATGTCTCCATGACATCTGAGCAGCAACCTTTACTGCATGCATCAGACGCCCTCTCCGAAAATACATCGACTCCTACACAAAGTGTGCAAACCAGTGTGTCGGAGGTTGGTCGGTCACCAATGCACAAGATGCAAAGGCATTGAGCGTTAGTAGAGAGAGGCATCAAACTACACTCATACGAAGCACCGAAAACCCTAAACGCTGCTACAATTTGGCTCAAGACCTTGGAACAAGGTAAGGTTAGCTCCACCCAGCAGTTTTCACGCTGTCAAACTATCTCCACACCGGAGACCGATGCCCAGCACGAGCCCATCGTCATCTCTGAGATTGTGGAGGATGAGTTGCACTGCCTGGGCGCCTCCTCCGAAATCATCGATAGCATGAAAAAGGAGGACCAGATGGCACAAGATGGTGCATCTGCCGATATGACCCTTTGGGGATGGAGAGGGCGAGATGCCGATGAGCCAGATGCCAGGCAACCTCGACATTTCAACTCGGATGAATGCTTTGTGTTGCATATCCGACGTGCTTGAGGCGCATACCTTGGGCCAAAGGGGTCAAGACACCTGGTTTCGGGCGGCCCTGCTTTTTGATCGCTTCACAGCAAGTAGCAGCTTCTGCTTGGAA